CAGATTCCACCACCTAGAAGCCTAGGAAGTCCTATTTAGCATCCATGGCCATGTGTAGATTAAATGAGGGGTGTGTGTGCACAATACTTTAAAGTGGGCTAAATGCTTTTGTACCACTTTAATGGTGTCGGTGTTTGCATGCCTGAGTGGTGTGTTGCGCATTAATTCCAACTGTCGTAGGAAATTCGGCAGTATAATGCACCCTAAATGACTTGGGGTGCAGCAAACTAAAGCTCCTCTGAGTTTTAGTTTGCTGTGTCTACAGCTGTGGAGTGAAGCACCGGGCTTCCTGCAGCTCCATGGCTGTGCAAAGCTTCAGATCGTGATTTGGATTCAGAGATGATTCAAATGATTTGGAAGCCAAATCTATGAATCCATATTGAATCGCTTTTCAATTCCGAAAAGATTCAGAGATTTGGCCATAGGGTATAATGGGGAATCAATGAAATATCTAAAACTTTGTTGTTTTTTGGCTGATTTAGATGAAACTTGCAGGACTTGTAGCCTCTGCTGAAGGCATGAAGCCTGCGAAGGTTCAAGGTGATAGCTGCAGGGGTATCTGGGAAACTGCACCTCAAAGTTCTGAATGCAAAACTCATGTCACGTGTGTGTGTTAAGCCACAGCATGGTGAAAACTGCAGGGGTGGTAGCTCTTGCCAAGGTCACAAAGCCTGCCAAGTTTCAAGGAGATAGGTGCAGGGGTTTCTGGGAAACTGCACCTCAAACTTCTGAGATGCAAAACTCATAACATAGGTGATACTGTGTGTGTGTTAAGGCACTGGGGATGGGGGGTGAAAAATGCAGGCCTGCTAGGGCCTGCTGTGGCCACAATGCCTGCCAGCTGTGAAGGAGATAGGTGCAGGGGGAGTCTGGGTTCTGGGCCCCTGCACCTCTGGCCACAGCAGGCAAAACTTATGACATGGGTGCTTGTGGGACTGTGTGTGTGTTCAGGTGTGCCCTTCCTGGTGCTGGGGCCTCTGCACAACACGGCAGTGTGCCCCTGTGAGGCCTCCTCCTCCCCTACAGCTTCAGTCTGATCCACCACTGTAAACAACGGAAGGTCAGAATAACTTAGCTGGCTCAACATAAATAGCAGCAGCAGCATCAAAGGTAGCCAGATGGAAATGTCACAGAGCCTTTCTTTTTATAAAGGAATTGACAGCAAGAAATAAAGATGTTATGTTGGATATATGTTACTCATGGTGTGTGATGGCTTATCTTGTGTTTTTATGTTTATATGTTTATTATGAAAAAAAACAGAAAGAGTTAGAAAAATATATCTTAGGAAGATTTCGGGTTGAAACACCCTTTGTCAGGCTGAGGAAGTACGTGGAGTTGGTGTATCTCCTGGTCCTGGATGAAATGAATAGTAAAGAAGCCAGAGGCTTGCCTGGCATGCAATGCAGGCAAGAAAGCCAGTCAGTGGATATGGAAATGGAGGCATCATGGGGTGAGGGACAGGCTGGGGTGGGGTGAAGGGGGATGTAGCAGCACAGGTAGAAGTTCAGAGGTGCAGTTCCACAGAAACCCCTGTACCTATTGCCTTGAAAGCTTGCAGGCTTCATGCCCTCAGCAGGGGCTACCATCCCTGCAGTTTTCACCCTGCTGTGCCTTAACACACACACATTGTCACCTATGTCATGAGTTTTGCTTGTCAGCAGTTTGAGGTGCAGTTTCCCAGAAACCTTTGCACCTATGTCCTTGAAACCTGGCAAGCTTTGTGGCCTCAGCAAGAGCTCCCATTCCTGCTGTTTTCACCCTGCTGTGGCTTAACACACACACGTAACATGAGTTTGGCTTTCAGGAATTTGAGTTGCAGTTTCCCAGAAACCCCTGCACCTATCACCTTGAAACCTGGGAAACATCATGCTCTTAGCAGGGGCTACCATCCTTGCAAGTTTCATCTGTATCAGCCAAAAAGCAACAAAGATATAGATGTTTCATTGATTCCCCATTATACTCTATAGCTGAATTGCCAAATTGGCCCCAAATTGTCTCTGAATCTTCCAAAGTGATTTGGCCGAATCAAATCAGAAAAACGATTTGGATCTCTGAATTGAATCTCTGGCATCTGAATTGGCTGAATCTGAATTGAACAGTTCCCTATTCACACAGGTTTACAGCCTGGTATCAGCCTGGGAAGGCAGGCTCTGCGCAAGAAAAGCGATAAGCCTCATTTTTACCCTCCTTGCCTGGAGCCTGCCTGCCTGCCTGAGCTGAGTACGGGCCCGGTGCTTCCCACTGTGGGTGGCTGAGGTGCCTCCCGGGACAGGGTGGCACCCACCCTGTGGGCGGGTGCCACCGGGGGGGGGCTGCTGCTGCCGTGGAGGGTAGCACCAGCCCCCCTGCTCCCCAGGGACTGCTCCGCCTGCCAACAGCTCACTCTCCCCTCCCCCTCACCAGATAGGCAGGTAAATCAGTGGGGCATGCACATGACACAGGGGTTTTATCAGCCCTAAATTGAAGCAGTGTTTTTAAAAATCCACTGCTTCAGTTTAGGGCCCCTGTTTCATCTGCACATGTCTCATGCCATGGATTGGCCTAATTCACTTTTGAACCTGGGTAATTGTTAACTTTTTGTCTACAACATATTATAGCAATGAGTTGGACAAGTTAATCATGCCTTGTATGAAAAAGAGCTTCCTGGCTGCTTGTACATGTGATGTGGGTTTATTCCCCTAAATTGAAATGGAGGGTTTTTAATTGTGATGATTAAAAACCCACTGTTTCAATTTAGGGGCTTCCATCACTATTATGGTGAGGGGCCTGATCTTTTTTTTTCATGGAGCCTGCTTGCATCCCCCATGGCCGGGGGGTGAGCTGCCGGTGGGCAGAGCAGCCCCTGAGCTACAGGGAGCCCTGGTCCTTCCCTCTGCAGCTGCTAGTGGATGGATGCCACCTGGGAGGTGCTGCTGCCATGAAGGGACGAGCTGGGGCCCCCTGCTGCTCAGGGCCTGCTGGCAGCTTATCCACGGAAGATGCAGGCAGGCTCTGCAGGAAACAAAAAGGATCTGGCCCCTTGCCACTTTTTTTTCCTCTGTGGACCCTGTCTGTGTGAACTGCCACCAAGCCATGCAACCCCTGACCTGCAGGGAGGCCCAAACCTTCCCTCCACCGTGGTGGCATCCCCTGGGGCTTCCCAGGTAGGGTGCTAGCTGCACAGGTGTTGCCTCAGCTTACAGGCAGCACCCGCTGGATCCAAGTCTTCCCTGAACTCATGCGCTGGAAGCCCCAGGGGGCACTGCTGCCACGTAAGGAAGACCAGGGCCCTCCACAGCTCAGGGGCTGCTCGGCCCAGCAGCAGCTCGCCCCCTGGCTGCAAAATGCATGGGCAGGCTCCGTGAAAAAACAAAAAGGATAAGGCCCCTCACTGCTTCTGCCTTCAGCCTCCCTCTTCTGCACTGGGGAAGGGGTGAGCTGCCAAAGGCTGCAACATTATAAATAGCTACATTTCAAACTAAACTACATGTGGATGTGATTTAGTTTGCAATGTAAGAAACTTATTTAAATCGTAAAAAAAACCCTGCACATGTATAGTGTGACACAATTAAACCACAAAAACAGCCAATTTATATCATGTGTACAAGCTCTCCTTTTCTTAGTTTTAAACCTGCTTCCTAATAATTCTCTCATGTGTCTTCTAGTTTGGGTGTTGTGAGAGATAGTAAACAGTAAATCCCTATTTACTTTCTTTTCATTATTCATTACTTTATAAATCACAATCATATTCTGCCAAAGTCACCCTTTCATCCTAGTTCAGGGGTGTCAAACATACAACCTGCAGGCTGGATATGACTAGTGGAGCCCTATGATCTGGCCTGTGAGTCTTGGATTGACCCCATGCATCGTATATACCACAGGGGTTGGGTTGGGTTGGGTTGGGGCATGTGCTGCATGTATACTGGCTCTGGTGCTGGGCCAAATCAGGCCCCAGTCTGTCCATGGGTACTGCAGCAAGTGCACAGCACCAATCTAGAGGAACATTTTATGCAGCATGTGCCCCATGCTGGCCTGGGCCCCATGTACTGCATTCAGCCAGTTCAGCCCTGCACATCACATGCAGCATGCTCTGTACATGGTGAATGGGACTGGCAGGGCACCCCATGTAGTACATGTCCCTTGTACCATGTACAGACCAAATCCTGGAGCAGGGACAGCATTCACTGCATACAGCATCGGGGTCCAGCTCGGGGTACAGGCTGATGCAGTGCCCTGCTGGACTGACCCTATGCTCTGTCTCCAGTGTGGCCTGATCTGGCCCACACACTGGTCCAACAACCCTCATCTTGACACCCCATCCTAGCTTATTTAGTGTGTCCTTGTATGGAAGTCTCTCCATACCCTAATCATCTTTGCTGCTTTTCTCTGTACCTTTTGTAATTCTACTGTACCTTTCTGAGGGGAAGTGAGGGCAAAACTTCACACAATATTCTTTTATTTCAGAAGTTACAAAGCTAATTTTGTCATTTTCAAAGCATACTTACGTTCTGGTTTGTGTACCAGTACAGTGAAGAATCCTTCAGAATAAACCAGTATTTTTTCCATTTTTGTGTAAAATAACCTTTGGCATCTTTTTTCTTCCACAGCCAGCCCTCACAATCTCCATGCCCCAGATCTTTGCAGGAAATCCGCCTCCTACTTCCACTGGTCAGAGAACTCCCTGTGAATGAGAAGATACTGTTAAAGACCTCAGACACTAAGTGTGCCTATTTCTGTAAATGTAAATACTTAATTTTTTTAACTAGTGGTAGTCAAAATTGAAGCTTTCAAATGGAATCCTTTCCGATTTCAGCTGGGGGTTAGGGAAGGGGTCACTCAGAGTACAATTTCTGAATAAAAAAAAGTCTTGTGATTTTGGTTTCAGGACAGTTTCTATTTTTTGTTTGGAGAGAAGAAAATCTGCATCAGATTATTCTATCTCAGTAGAGTTCTGCTCCTGGTGGCTAAAATCTCAAATACTTAATTTATGATATTTTGGAACCATCAATCAGCCATCAAACCCAAAGCTTCACTGTGATTTGTCCTTTAATCTAAACCTTGACAGTGGCATAAAATTACAATAAATCTCTACCCAAACAATACATCAGTACATTTTTATTTCTTTCTTTTAGCAAGCTCCAAAACAGTCAAGTTCTGGTAAAGAAGTGTATTTATTTTTTCAGTAACAAGGAAACATCAATAATTCTGATCTGTAAGAATGGAGAAATACATTCACCCATGCTACCATACTCTGAATTTAATTAATCAACAATATTTTAGCATTACTAAATTCCATTAAATGAATGGTAATAGAGAAATACTTTGTTTTCATTAATTCAACTTGCCCTACTTGATTACCTTGAAATTTCACTGTCTTCTGGACACTAGTAAGAACAGATTTTTCTCCTAACGTTCATATAATTTTTCCATAAAGCCTAAGGCAAATTTAATTAAAACATTAGATGTTCTACTGTGAAAAATCAAATTTACATTGCCACATTAATTATATTGGTCCTAAAGCTATGATGAAGTATAAGTTTGATCACATTAAATGACCATCTTTTTTTTCTGTCATACTTGAAAACAAAGTTCTGAATATTTCATTCTTTTTGAAATACAATTTGGCATCCTGGTCACCTTTAGAAGCAGTAAAAATGCATAGTTCAATGAAAAGAGAAGTCTTTAGGTAATGGCTCAAAAGAGCAAGTAAAATATAAAAGGGGCAGTGTGATATTCTTAAATAGGCCAAAAAAGAATAAAAAAACAGAATAGTAAGAAATGGCATAATATATACAGCAAGTTTTTTCTTCCAATGAACTTTTAAAGGAAGTTTTCCCATTAACTTTAATGGAATTAGATCCATAGTACCTTAGTAATTAAACTAGAAACACATGAATTAGGACCAAATCTGCCAATTTATCAGTGCTGGTGGCTCAGGCACCATCCACTGCCAAACTTAATTTTATAATTTCCAAATTAACTTAAATACTTTACCTTTGGACCATCTTTTGGTTTTCACTCTCAGAGAAGCGTAGTGGAATGACTATAAGGAAATAAAAAAGTGGTTGAGTACCAGGGCATGAAATTAAACCAAGTTATCACACTGATATATAGCGAGTGCTTCATTAATTATTGTGTATGCCTATGATTTTCTTTTCTTTTCTTTGTCATTTCAGTGATGGAAAATTCTTAATATTTTATAATTATGTTGTACAATATTGTTACAATAACAACATATACATTACAGTTATCAGGCAAAAAAAAAGTCAGTGGTATTCTGAGGTACTCAGCAATCACTATAGCGTCTATTAGGCCATTTCAGTCTTGTTCTCCTACCTCTATAAAATGAATACCCTACACAAGCAAATCAAGGCAGTACTATATTTAGAAACTAATGCATTTACTTTCAGAATTACTAGGAATAATTAGCCACATATCGCCTCATCAAATCAAGAGAAACTACCTAAATAACTTCAATACTGGAGAGAGAATTTCCTGATATTTCAGAGGCATTATATGATACAGGTAAATAATATATGCACTCATTTTATGAATAATAAAATTATACACAACTTTATACACACAGCTTTTGTATACAGATATGCATAAACCATCAATATTTATTTGAAGAGAAATTTGAGTCCAAAATATTAAAAGGGGAATGTATTTTTTCTTTTAATTTTTAAGGCCACATCAATGAGAACTTGTACACCAGTTCTCTAATAATATCCTTGCCATACCTTACTGCTTCAGTGAAATAATACTGAAAATTTAGTAACAGAATGCAATTTTATTTTTTTAGTTTTAATAACTCCCGTTCTTTGGTAGCTGGTAAATAAATATACCAGTGATCCCTATAGCAATGGAAAGTCAGTCAGGGCATTTGTAGATGCAACTTTAAAGCAGGTTTAAAGTGGGTTACATGACTTTTGCACTGCTTTAATGGCATTGCTGTTTGCACATTCGGCGGTGTACTGTGCGTTAATTCTAGTTGCTGTTGTACGTTGGGTAGTGTAATGCACCTTAAATTACTTTATGATTCAGCAAATGACTTTGGGGTGCTGCAAAGTAAAACACCACTGAGAAGTTTTAGTTTCCTACCCTACAGCTGTGGAGGGAAGCACCGGGCTCTGAGCCGCTTAGGGGCCATGCAGGCGGCCCATGCAGGCAGCCTGGCAGCAGCCTAGGAAGGCAGGCTCCACAGAAGGAAAAAAAAAAAAAAATGGTGAGCCTGGTCTTCCTCCCCAGAGCCTGCCTGAGCTGCGCGGGGGCCTTGTGCTTCCCTCTGTGGCTGCAGTGACCCCAAGGACTGCCCAAGCCAGGTGCCTGTGGGCAGGTGCTGCTTGGGGGAGTGCCGCCACTGCCATGGAGGGAAGCATTCCCCGCCCCCCCCCCCCACCACCCCAGGGGCCACTTTGTCCACCGGCAGCTCACTCTTCCCTTCCCACTGCTGGAGAGGCAGGTAAGGATCAAGGTCTGACATGGGTGTATACAACATAGGGGTTTACTTTGCCCTAAATTGAAGCAGTGTCTTTAAAATACCAATGCTTCAATTTAGGGAGAATTAACCCCCCGTGTTGTGTACAAGTGCCCTCAGTCTCTACTTTTATATAAAGAAGCACTATTCATTTGCTGCAGAGAATTTTTCTTATGCATAGGAATGGCACTGGGGAAAAAAAAGGCCAGTATGAAGAAGCTTCATGACTGAGGGTGCCATCATTTAAAGAGCAAAGGTAGACATTTACAGTACAATAAACTAGTAAATCTGTTATGCAGAGCTGCACAGTGAAGGAAAATCTTCTTCTTGCACCTGTTTTCATGTATGACATAAAAGGCATGTCCACATGAGGTGTTTACTGTGGAGTTGATTAATTAGCTTTGCAGTAAACGTCTCAGCCTCTATATGTGCACCCCTATTAGGATGCAGGAAACTAATAAACTCAGCAGCAGGATAGTACTGATGAATAATTTTTTACTCTGCAGCAGTGCACATGTAGACGCTGAACAGGCTGGCCGGGGCATGAGGCTGCTTCAGTGCAGGGGTTGCCTGCTGGCCAGCCCCATGCTGAAGCATACTCATGCCTCAGCCAGCCCCTTCTCAGCACATGGAATCCAGCTGGAGCAGCCCCGGGCTTGCCAGCCAGGCTCCAGACTCTAATTACTCCAGAGTTAATTGCTCCCAGGTGCACATTTAAACAGCATGCCCGGAAGCAAAAAATTCCAGAGCAGTAAGCTCCAGAGTTTATTCATGTGCACTAATTTCATAGGTAGATATACCTACAGTCTGCAAGTTCTGTGGGTCAGGGACCAGCTTTCATAAGTGCCTAGTCTACTGAGGCCCTGATCATTGGCCAGGGTTCCTAGTGCTATCAGAGTTCAAATACAAATAATATAAAATAATATAAATGTGGGATCATCTGCCTTTAACACATAAATGTAAATATTTCATGTGTTCTAACTATAATAAATATATACTCTCCTTGAAAAGATCCATGAACAAGAAAAAAGAGGTATTTAGCTATGTTAAGCTGAAGTTAGGCTAAAGGCAAGGCAGGGTAGCACCTTACAGAGTAGTTCTTTCAGAGAGGCAAAGTAGGCTGTTGCTATGAAAGCT